GCTAGTCTGAAGAAGATTATTGCATTGCGAGTAAGCATGGCTGCAATTTTCATTTGTCGCTATTTTTAGGCGTGCAGTTCTGAAAATGTTACAGAGAAATGTTCAAACTTTTTGATTTTCTGCAACAATTTTTGCGTTGCGAGATATCGTTGCCGCCGTCAAAGTCGCGGTGATACACGCTGAAATTGTCTTGCGCTGGCAATGCAACGGAAAACTTGAGATTGCATTGCCAGCGAGAGAAAATATTGCAACGTGTTTCGACAGCTTCACTATTGGTCCATTACAAGGCATCCCAGTGTCATCTGCATGTCTGACCTAAATTGTTTCTTAACAAGTTTAGTCTGGCTCACAAGAATCAGATCCTGTCGATCCATCCCTTTTGTCGGAACGTAAGACCAAGCTTAACCTGATCTTCAAACTACAGACTTCTGGCATTTAACTGTTTTGAAAAAGCATTTCAAAGATAACTTTTTGACAGAACTGAATTCTCTTGAATTTTTTGCAGAGATGCGTTCGATAACCTTGGGTATGTCTGGCTGGAAAAATAACGGGCATTATTAGTTGACTTAGCTATTTTCTATTTTGAATGCAGTGACTTGAAAAACGAGGCAAAGGAACAATTTTACCACGTCTTCAAGAAAACCAATAAAAACGCATTTAGCACACTACTTATGTATATGAGAATATATATAAACTATATAATTGTACTGCGGTGGTAATGTATGAAAATGAACTGATCCTCCCGGCGCAGTATGTCAAGCAACATAAGCACTACTTACACTTATATCAAAAACCTAAGTTTAATCTTAAGAACTTTCATACAGAATTAACAGTCGTAAACTGCACTGACAAGAAAAGTTGAAAATAGCACGGTTAATGGCGATCGGGGTCAGTTTTGTATTGTATATTGAACCGTTTTACGGACTAACTTTGAATAGTTCATCTCTGAAAAGACCTAATGCAAATGTATTTAGAAAATTTGCAATTCTACATTGAGYATGCGCAACATCTTTTTTTCCTCTGTGCGTGTGTTTCTGCAGGGGCAGAGAGTTGTGGAATCCAGTTTCAAATAACTCTCTTTTTTCGTGCCTTATGGGAGCTGCTTTTTGGCTCCAGTCTGGCAACTCCCTTCGACGTCTACCTATCACTTAGAGACTGAACTAGACATCAAGTAGACTTATCTAAAACTAGCTTTAGCAGGGCTACAAAAGTAACAGTGTAACTGAGGCCAGGCTAAAAGTCAAATTTCAGATATCCCGAATCTAATGCAAATGAATTTAAACAATAGGTTTTGCTCATTTGCTTAGATTCGGCACACTGCTGTTAACTTCAGTCAACGCTCTCTCTATCTGGAATCCATACATAGTTTTGATTTTAACGAAGCAAGAATACCAATAATTGTTTGAGATATCAAGAAAGGTTAAGTGGTCATTCAGTCAAGACTAAACAATTTTGAACGTTCGCCTTTGTCGGACGTTGATTTAGACTAGGTTGTCGTACACTTGACTTTTATAACTAGTTACGATTTAAATAAACATGCTATTGAATGCCAAAAACTTCTATTTTTAGTAGGGTTTTATCTAACAACTTAGACTATTTTTTTGTCAGCCACAAGTTTATCAGTTCTGGGTATAATTTTTTCATGCTAGCCTCTAAATATAGTCATAGGGGTGTCTAGTAAGCGATATTTATTTTTGTACTTATGTATCAATTCGACTGATCTTCTTTTCAGATTTATTTTATGACTACATTGGCCAAGTTATACTTCCCTGGCAATACGCATGCACACTGGTACGTGTTTCTCGTGCCAGTTGGTCTCATATACGCGTCAATCCAGCATCTTTTTTTATTTTTATATATCATTCGTGCACTCTAGGTGCATTACGAGAAACAAATTAATACATGGCTCTGTTCTCAGCTTACCTAGACCTTAACCTGAGTTTTAGCATTTAAACACTCGTCTAAGCCAGCCCATATTCAGATACATTCTGTCTTTGAGGTATTTACTTTCAAGTGTCATATTAAAAGAGCTTATCTCAAGAGTTATAAATGTGCGGCTTATTGGAATCTAAAATTTTCAGTTGCAATGCGAAGGTCAAAAAGAAAATGCTTTTTCGTTTTCGTACGCATACTTTTCGACACGTTTTGCCCTTGCCTCCACACTCAAATGATCAAAACGCACACATTTGAAAATGCTCTCCAGAGTGAAGAAATTTAAAAACGGCCTATCGTATTATTTTGGACATCGAAAACGAAGGCTTTTGAATACTCTGACGTCGTCATTCACAACGCACGTCTATTTTTCGCCTGTGCAGACGACGATGTTGAATTATTTCCGTATCTGCGTTTTTGATCGTCTTAGTGCAAACCTATGCTATGAAAAAGCTATTGTGGACGCGAAGCTTTTAGTGCGTGTTCGGTGAGACGAAAACGGAACGTTTCGAAGACGCATTAGTGCAATTCAAAAGATTCGTAAAAATGGAAAACGTGGTAGAATTTTATATAAAATCCTATTCACCACCGGTTTTCTTACATCGGTTCAATTATCACATACAAAGTGAAAGAGCCAAAATTAAAATGGGAAGTATAAATTTCATGTGAAATCTCCGGTCCCAGACCTTCTCGGTCAATTATGACCGACCGACAGCCTGGGAAGAAGACTAGAATTAGAGTTGAGTCCAGCCAAAATATTAAAGTGATGAATGGTAAAAAAGGAACTTGCCAATATTCGCTTTTCTGACCCAGTCAGTGCAGAACTCGGGTACCAATCAACACAAGGAGCGCGCTTCAGTGGAAGGTCATAAAATATTCTAGACGACGACGAAGAGCGATTGACCTGAGATCGACGTTAATTATAGGATAGACATTATCACTAACGAACGGCAAGATCACGGCATCATACTATGAGGCTAAATTCTCACGGCTACCAGTGGCATATTGAACGCGAAGGAGGGGAGGGGAGAGGGGG